CACTTCCGGGTTGGCTTCATTTTTCAGGGCCGGTTGCTACGTCCATCTTTTATACAGTCTATGATTTATATGCACTTCTACAGTCGCATGTTTAGAGCCTTTTCTTTGAGACAGCGCCCCCTCCTGCAACGGATGATCACTAAAGTGTAGGACTCACGATCTCAAAGGCTGACTACACTTAAAATATATTTTGAGTACTGAATTACAGTTGAAGCTGTAACCAGCAAAAAACGGCATGGCCACTAAAGGGTTAATTCCCTATCGTCGGATTGTTTGATCTTCTGCGCAGCTCTTCTGAGCAGACGGTGCAGCGACGCAGACCGTGCGCGGAGAGACGAGAACAAGCAGAAGTTAAGCTGCTCAGAACAGAACGATAGAAAAGGAGAGATAAACTTGATAAGTTAGCTGAATAATTGAGAGAGAGAGATAAGAATCTGCCGATTGTGTTTACATTTTGACAGTGCGTTGCTCCGGTGGTAAACGAGTCAGGTGGTGTTCGATACTCCGGTGAGTTAAGCAGCTAACTAAGCTAATAGCGTAGCGAGCCTCTAGCTTGTGCTACGTAGTGTATTTATGTCCGTATGTATTGAGTTGAAATGAGCTAAAACCAGTTGGAGTAAATTCCTGAAGTATTGAGGGTTTTGAAATGTTGTGTTTAAATGTATTTACACATCGTTTGTTCGTGATGTGTATGTTACAACAACTGTTGTTGGTTTAGTAATTGAATGTTAAATATGGTATGTTAAGGATTCTGTGAATTTTACAGTACAAAGTAATTTATTTTTCGAGTAAAATACTCTCAAAAGTGCATTGAACAACCTGTTAAAACCAGTGTAAAAGAACCAACTAAGAACATGGATTTTGGAATTTGATGAGATCTCATTCATTTAGATAAATATGGAATAGAAACATTTTGTGATGATTTCTACTGATTTGCTTTGTACTGTATGTGCAGACTGGTTTTTGTGACTGGATTAGACGCCTGTAAAATTTCTACTGAACGCAATGGCGAGCCAGACCCATTGAGGACTACCATAGATGGATGTTTGAATCAGTGTGGCCAGCTGTTTCAACCTCTATTCTGAAGACTCCACTTCGTTGATTTCAAAGGATTCACAGATAAGGGACGATGACAATAACACACATTTATCCTACCCGGGTAGAGAGACAGAAAACACGCTAACAAATAGTGACCCAAGGAAGGACCTGAACATCACAAACTAAATAAATCTCTAAGGACATTGTGCATTTCCTTTTGCTGCTGTGTTTCTATCCAAAGAGACGCTATTTTATTTTGTTGTTTTTCTAATTGTTTATATGGCACAGTATTAATATTTGTTGTTAGTCTTGTTATACTGCAATAAATCTGCCGGCTGTTGTCTATTGCAAATATATATCTTGCTCTTTATTCACTCCTCCAGAACCTAGTTAACCACCTAGCTTTGCATTTGGCCCACCTCTAAGCAAGTGCTACAAAACCAGAAGTTTCCATCCACTGTATAAAAAGACATAAAACCTCAGACTAAACTCTTCCTGTTTCAGGTCAGTTAGGATTACCAACATTATTTCTATTTGCTGAACACCAGAATAATGAGAGAGAGAAGTTTTTATTACTTTCATCAAAG